TAAACCCTAAACCCTAAACTCAAGGATAGAGAAAACTTCAAAAGAAAAACACCAGAGCCGATGCCCCGGTGCCACGCCTGGTAGAGGTGATCGATCCGCGCCTTCAACTCCTTCACGGAAATCTCGGTGCCGGCTACCTGGCGGCAAAAAGGCCTAGCGGTTTTTAAGGGTTTCTAGGACCCTAAACCCTAAACCCTAAACCCTAAACCCTAAAGCACCCTGAATGGGTTCTACACAGATTAAGGTTTGCAGAGTTTAGCCAGGATCTTGACGGATCAAGACTTCCATCTGACATTGTAAGAGTGCTAAGCTTTCGGGTTTCGCGGGGCTCCAGTGAGAAGGAGGCTCGAGATTTGGGAACTACGGTTGATGGTATAAATCCTGCATGGCCTTAAAGACCCTAAACTACGGGAATTCGCCTCGGCCTCCGGCCGAAGCGGTCAGAGGTTCCTATTCCGACTTCCTCTATCCCCCACCTCTTAATCCCCTCCCCAGTGACGTCCACCCTCCAAAATGTCCCTGAAAAGGGGGGTCTTTTCCATGGTGGATCTCGCCTCCACCTGCCAGCCCCCACCGGCCCCCCCCACCCCCCCCCCACCCCTGCCTTGCCTCCCCTTCCCTGCAGTTCGTTGGCCCTCTCTGCTTGCGGCCGGGCCAAGGCGGACGACGCGAAGCGTTTAAAGTTATGGTAGATTCCTTTCTATGGGTAATGCAGGATTTCTATCATCAACCGTAGGGCAAAACTCCACAGCCCGAAGCAGGATCGAACTACAACCACCTCAACAGTACTTTAGGGCTTAGGGTTTAGGGTTTAGGATTTAGGGTTTAGGGTTTAGGGTTTAGGGCCACCTCAACGGTACCTTGCAAGCCTTTGTTGGCAGGGTCTACCGTCCGCAGCGCTTGGCGGGCAAGACTCCGAATATCCAGACCTACTCGGCTTACGCATTAAAGATAACGGAGATATCATCTGTCTGGTGCTTAGTAGGGAATGGGGGAATGGGTTATAGGGACTACTATAAAGGACTTTAAGGGACTATCATCGGGATCCATTCCCCCATTCCCTACTAAGCACCAGACAGTCATCTTTGTATACCATAAGAGCCTTGATCAAAAACCTGGGGTTTGGGGGGTAGGTTATTGTACAGTTAGATGATGAGGGAGTCTACGGAACCCGGAGAGCCCAATACCCCTTAATTACGGAATATACCTTAAATCCTAGTATTAAGGCCCCTAGAATTTAAGGCATCTTCCTTAGTTAAGGGGTATTGGGCTCTCTGGGAATAACTGGACTTTGAAGTAACCAGGGAGAAAAAAGTATAGACTGTAATTTCATAATGGTTCCCTTCAGGAACAGGTCCCAAACAAAAGTATTCAAGTATGGTACTCCAGAACCCAGATAATGTGAGTAGACCCTAAACCCTAAACCCTAAACCCTAAACCCTAAACCCTAAACCCAAAACCCTAAACCCTAAACCCAGATAATGTGAGTAGACTACTCAGACTTCTAGTTCACTTGGGTGCCCAGCTTCCCCTTGAAGGGAGACTCGAAGTCAAGCGTACACAGACAGGTTTAGGATTTAGGGTTTAGGGTTTAGGGTTTAGGGTTTAGGGTTTAGGGTTTAGGGAGACGTCAGCCACCAGGCAAAAGAGAAGACGCCCATGGGTTTAATTTAGGCGCTTCAATGATTAGAACAGGGCTCTGGGATTCTAGTAGAAGCCAAGACTCTTCCGATCGACAACAAAACGTAAAGTACTTCCCTGTGCTAGGGTTTACCTGTATCCCCAAAACCTGCAAAATAGTAGGTTATGACCAACAAGGGTTTAGGGCTTAAGGTTTAGGGTTTAGGGTCTACCTATAGTCTCCATTGTAGTTCCTGTTTGTGGATGCCTTATAAAATGCTTAATATATACTTGGTTAAACCAAAAAAAAGGAACCACAATGGAGACTCCAGGTAAACCCTCCTCAACGTCCCACCTCGGCACGGCCGCGGGCTTCACCGTCCAGACGATTGCGGAGGTGGTTGCAGCTGTCTTCCTTGGCAGGGTCCTACATGTAGCCTTAAGAGCCTTATGCACGCGGGCCCAAACCCCGTGCTGAAGCGCTCAAACCTCTGCGAGCAATGGAACTAGCAAGACCAGCAGCAAGAAATGAAACATCTAAAACTAAGCCAACACTTGATGGAGTGTTGCCACGGCTGTCGGCATAGTCACCACAAACGCCAGCTCTCCCCAAGCACTGCGCTCATGCCCGAATACACCCTAAACCCTAATGTATGGGGACTGAATAATTACCAATACTATTTTTGGGGTTCCTTATTGTAAGTATAGTATATATGGCCCTGAAACCCTATTCTAATTAGTAAGGTCCCTACCTTAAACCCTAAACAACCCAAGTACACTGAGCCCTACAACTGGAACTCCGCACCCTAAAGCTCATGAGCAGTTGAGGCCTTCATAGTTAGAAGAGGGTTTGGGGGTATCTATTATACTACAATTATACTACGGAACCCCCAAAGCCCTGTTCTAATTATTAAGGCCCCTACGTTAGCTGTTCGAGTTGAGGGAATCACGAAACCTGAACCCTGAACCCTAAATCCTAAACCCTAAACCCCAAATCCTAAACCCTAAACCCTAAACCCTAAACCCTAAATCCTTAACCCAAAACCCTAAATCCTAAACCCGAAACCCTAAACCCTAAATCCTAAACCCAAAACCCAAACCCCAAATCCTAAACCCTAAACCCTAAACCCTAAATCCTAAACCCAAAACCCTGAACCCTAAACCCTGAACCCAAAACCCGAAACCGTAAACCCCAAACTTTAAACCCTGAGATGGCTTTGCAATCTCATCCTGCGCTCGGCGCTGCCACGTCAGGCCACGT